GTGGCGCTCGTGGGCTGCGACACGCCCGCCATCCTCGTGCTGCTCGCGCTCAACGGCCTCTTCCTCGGCGCCCAGTACACGGGCAACTCCATCAACCTGCTGCTGCTCGCGCCCAACTTCTCCGGCACCATGCTCGGCATCTCCAACACGTTCGCCAACGGCGCCGGCATCCTCGCGCCCTACGCCGTGGGCTTCCTCACCAACGACAACGTGAGTATGCGTGGTGGACTCGAGATTTTAGTTGTCAGAGTGTATAGGGGATGAACACCACCACACTGTTAAAAAGCTGCGAATGTAAATTTAGCTCACGGGCAATTTGCTCCGTAAGCTACGGTGAATGTTCTGTTCGCTGCGATGAATCAGGGTGCATCACCGTAACTTGTGGTGATATTCACCGTACCTTACGGCGAGTATTAATCGTGATCTACACTACAGTGCTCCAGAGTCCAACTAGAGCTTACGGCGAAGCTCGCCGTAAGCTTTTATTAGTGCAGAGGGTACGATGATCACTTCACTTCTAGTATACCACGTTAGTGTCGCATGTCCGCCCAAGACCAACCACTTTCAGTTCATTCCGCGTACAAAGTTCGTAACGGCTCTCCCACATCGACGTGGCAGTGTAACCGTATATTATTACAGCCGCTCTCTCCGCGCGCGATGATTCCCGGGTATTCATGATAGACTCCCCACCTCCTACCGAACACGCGCGGAAACCTTTTGCGACTCGATGTGGAATCGGAGGGAGAGCACACAGCAGCACACGCCGCGCTTGTATGGGCGCGCAATCTCCATCACTCCACGCTTCGCCCCCTGCTGCTCCCTTGCTCCCCGCCGCCGTCCCGAGTCTCCTGGCAACATCCATCTGGGCGCCGTGATACCCCCGGCCGATGAGGAAGCCTTAGGGCTTTGGTTGGCGCTCGCCCGGCTCGCTCCCACGGTGTTGCGGTGCTGCTGCCCCACCCGCCCGCCTGCCGCCCGCCGCCCGCCGCTCGGGGGATACCTGCCCGCAACGCGCGCGCGCCCGGCGGGATTGCCCTCCTCACAGGGGCTATCCGCCGCGGCCCGTCCCACCCCTCCGCCGCCGCACCACCCGGCGAGCGGGGTCAGAACAACGCCCACCCAGCAGCCCGAGAGCCGTAGAAATTCGCAGAAATCCAGATTTGTTCTTACTTTGTCCTCGGAACCCACCACTTGCCTGGCAGCCCTCAGCGGTTCAAAAGGTCAGCCGTAAAAATGTTTGTTCTTCTTTTAAGTGGCATACCTCGACCTCCCTGGCATGGCCTGGCGGCGCGGGGCTGGTGGAAAAGGGCACTTGACGAAAGATGAATGAACGAGAATTTTATTGTAGCCATACTGTGTGGAGAGAAAGTGAGGGAGGAGGGGG